CACATCATAAAGGGGCTCAGCACTCGTTAAAACTATCTGAGGCGCCTAGTATACTTTAAAACGCCCATTAAAAGCGCTAGTCCTCGCAATTCACTTCAATATGTGTCATACGCGAAGCTCATGAAGAGTAAGTACCCTATGTTATTCAGGTCACAAAATGTTCCGTGTCATATCCCGATGATTCACCTTTTTCGTATTGCCTGTAACTGTAGGGTTTTTTTTGTTGTAAGTAGTGTGAACTCTTACTAGTCCTTCTTTGTCACATAACTGGATCAGTGTTTCCCCCTATCTCTGAAACTCACAGACACCCATCCCCCTCCATCCCTTTCTCTCACCCATTTCCAAAACCATCCTCTCTCTCTCTCTCTCTCTCTCTCTCTCTCTCTCTCTCTCTCTCTCTCTCTCTCTCTCTCTCTCTCTCTCTCTCTCTCTCTCTCTACCTGGGAGGGGGGGGGGGGGGGCTTTATACGTACAACTCTTTTGTTCTATATAATGTTACACCTGAAACGATTTTGTCTTCTTGAGTTACAAAAAAGTACAGTTTTTATACCATTGCTTTTAAATCTCCATATGCTCTCTCTTACGAGCGATTCTCCGGTTCATGTTCAATGTGCGGCTGCGATATACATCTTTGCATCGTTGTTTTGCATACTGTAAAAGCCATACACATTTTTCCCATTCCTCTGAACACCAACACTTCATCCGTCCCCAAGTCTAAATATTCGTTGTCGAGACCTAATTCTCGCCTTTTCCACAAACTCATAACCCTTGCCCTATTTGTTTTTGTTCAAACCATTATCAGGTCCCATTCTCTCAATCCGCTCGTCACCCGCTTCATCCTCACTGTAGGAGGGCGCCAAATCCATCGCATGCGTCTCCAAACATCCTTCGTCCCGGACCAACCCCCCCTCCCCCCCCCAACCCAAACACAAATGGACCTAACAGCTTTCTCGTCCCCGTACTACTTCCGTCCCCACCTCCCTCCACTTTTCTGTCTCTCCATTCTTCCTCGTTTCCCTCATCGTCTTCCTCCTCCGACTGCCTCTTTACCACTCCACGTCTCCCCGGTCTTTTGTTTCTTTCAGCGCCGCTGCCGGATTTCTCAGAGATAATTATAAGTTGCGGGTAAAATCAATGAGGGAGAAAACAATTATTTTCTCCAGAGTTGGAGGAGCAGGGCGAGACGGACGCGACAAAGACACGGACGACGCCAATCAATGATAGAGGAAGTTCTTCTTCGGGGAGGTGGGGAAAAGAAACAAGGCTGTCTGCCTTTTCGTTGTGAACGATGTAGAAAGGCGGTGAGAGATGGAGATGACAGGCAACAGGACACAAGAGGGAGGGAGAGGTGTAAACAGAGGGAGAGAGAGAGAGAGAGAGGGAGAGAGAGAGAGAGAGAGAGAGAGAGAGAGAGTGGGGGGGGGCGAGAGAGAGAAAGAAAGAGAGAGAGAGAGAGAGAGAGAGAGAGAGAGAGAGAGAGAGAAGGTGAAAGAGAGAGAGGGGGGGAGAGAAAAAGGAGGAGCAAAAAGGGAGAGACAGCAGTGGGAATATTTTCCACTTTGGAAGTGTGTGTGTGGAAGGGGGGGGGTGCAATAATGGGGAAGAAAGGGGAACAGACAGTGAGCCAGAACAACATACACAACGGAGAGAAAACACAAAAAAAGCCACATCTTTTGACACTCTGTTATTATACCTAAACGTAATAGACCATCAATAGCATATTCAACAGCGTCACTTGCACCTACAGATAAAGCGCAGTTCCAGACAAGCGCTATAGAGAGCGGAACTTCCCTGCATAATCAATACCCACACCGCCTCCCGTTGCCTAATTGTTTGAATGAGAGATTTTTTTTTTCATCCATACTCTTGCTTCAGGGTGTATAATGACCGTGATGGTACTTCATTTCCTGGTCGATGAGCTTGCAAGGAGGTAAACTTGAGCGGGTATATTTTAACTTTAATAGGACTCATACCATAACATGTAATTACATATTTTTGTATCTTGTTCTCGGCTCTTAAATTTTCCCTACCCATCTTTGAAGAAATCACGAGGAGAAACGGAAACTATCAAGGAAACTACCCGTCTTTGAAAATATCTCAAAGGGAAACAAGAAATATCAATAAAACTGCAGACAAAGGTGGTTGGGCGACTATCTTTGATCTCCAGATGATAGTAACCTGATTTAGTTTAAACATTTCCGTTTACTTCAGACGCTCATTGGTACATTATGTAGGCCACATCGCCTCAGGGCAGAAACTATGCGAGGCACAGTAAGTTGGCAAGGCACAAAGGAAAAAGATCTAACGACGCGGCAGTGTTTCAAGTAGTAGTTGAATGTAAGTAGGTTATGAGTTTACTTTGCTCTTTTTTTTTCGAAAAGATTTTGACCTTCCTCTTGGTAAAGCGTCACAGAGTCACGACGCCAAGCTTCAAAAACACTCTAAATTTAAAAAAAAAACACATCTTAGGATTTGAACCAGTACCATCTAAACCCCTCGCTACCATGATACCAACTGAGCAACCGGCAGGTTCAATGGCTATGTGTATTACATGGATGTCACAATATAAAACAATATGAACCCCACAAAACCCGTAAAATTCTGAACGTGAAGACCACCTCGTCGCACACCTTAATCCGATCTTCACAATCACTGCGTTAATATCTTATTCTTCAAAACAGCTAATTCTAAAACAATGCAAGCCTACGTGTGAGTTCATCATAACGGCAACAGCATCAGACACATATAAATAGGCTCAGAACAGTACGGGACCTACTGGGAAACGATAACAATATATCGACAAGGGTTGCCAACTGCCAATAAACCATAATTAGATATAACAAGCAAAGTTCCCTGGCTGGTATACATAAGTATGATGATTAGGAAATTGCTTTCCCATTCGGCTAAAAGGTGGTGACGGCTTTTTACTGTTTCCCACCAAATGTATTCTTGGAAGCAGTCATAGAGTGAGAGGGTTATCGACCCTGCCAGAATGTCAGAGAATAATGATAATACTGATAATAACAATTATAATGATAATAATAACAATAATAATACCAGCAACAATAATAATAATAATAATAATAATAATAATAATAATAATAATAATAATATCAGCATTACGAAACAGGTGAGGGTTTCAGCTTATAGGACACAGAACAAAATGATGTGGATAACGTGTTTTAGCAGTCAAAGTATAACGAGAGCAGAGATCAATGAGCGTATTACAACAAAAAGGTGAAGAGACCGACATAAGTACACAGAGAGGTATGAGTACCTAGACAAACACACAAACATACACTCAAACAAACATATGCTACTAAAGGAAACTAAAATAGAAAAGAAATTAACAATGGTGGAATTCAGATAAGAGGCGATTCTGAACACGACTTTCTCCAGGTAACACACAATAAAGCTGTGTGCGTATCATTAAGAAACGATCACCTTACAACAAAACAAATTAATCGCACAGCAAGCAAAGGTAGATAAAAACCTGACCATCTGTCTCAACTATAAATAAACGTACACCAGAGCCCACAGTCATCGGCCGGCAGGCGGTACTCCGCAACTGTTACCATAAGGGAGACATGGGGGAACCGTTGTAGGGAAGAAAGAAACAAGAGATCATAGACTGGTGGAGGGAGCATGAGGTTATCTACATTCTGAGTTGTGAAACTCAGAAAGACAGACAGACAGACAGAAAGGCAGGCAGGCAGACAAACAGACAGACAGACAGACAGACAGACAGACAGACAGACAGACAGACAGACAGACAGACACACCCACACACATACATAAACTATCTCTCTCTACCTCAGTGTACGTGCGTGTGTGTGTGTGTGTGTGTGTGTGTGTGTGTGTGTGTGTGTGTGTGTGTGTGTGTAGATTTACTCTTTTTCTATCCGGCTCGGTCTTTTTTTTAGTTCTCGTTCCCGGGTGTGCAATGTGACCCCTGACTTTCGCGAACATTGAACCTCTTAAAAATGTCACTGCGTTAAAACGGATGGCACAGAAGGGCACTTCGTTGCACCCATCAACGCAATGTTACCGTGGTCTCCCTTATCACGTTTGTCAGCACTTTATTTTTAAAAAGCAGACAACCCAGTAAACTTTTCATTTCACTTTTACTCTTGTGACAAGCGTAGGTGGTTGGAGGGTGTCACGAAAAGATCCTATTTCTATTCTTTCCCTTTGTGGTTTGTGGTTTCTGTCGATCTCTTACTTTTTCAGAGGATG